TCGGTGGTATCAAATAACCTGAAACTCTAAAGTCCTTCCTAAAATAAGACTTACCTACCCTGATTTCCTGCCTTACCAAACAAGCTTAGTTTTAGTCCTTCTCTGAAAGCTTTTAAATATAGTAAGTAAGTATCATTTTTCACCATGAAAACCCCTTTGGTCCCAATAAGATGTGTGCCAAATTGCCGCTTGCCCAGGTTCCTCTGATGCACAGAACTCCTTGTCTTTGTTTAGGCTGTAAACTATCTGGGACAGGAACCTTGCCTTTAAACAGCTAAAATACCATGCACGTTTCCAGCCCTGCATATCAGTGTCATCTTTCCCAGGCAAATGGCCAGTGCTCATACATTTCTGCTTCCACATCCTGAGTGCCCCATTTCACACGCCTCTCCTTCGCCTCTTTTTTGTACGTTTGCTCTTTTCTGCCTCCATTAAAAAGTGCAGAAGTTATCTGCAGCACTTCAGGAATCAACCAAATAAGGCAGTAATTTCCTTGGCTCAGCTGGTGCTTGTACATGCCCCCAACTTTCTGTGACCCCATCCTTGTTCGATATGCCAGTAGGGGTGGGGGCAAGGGGGAAGCTGGTCTAGAAATTAACCAATTAACGATTTCTCAGCAAAATGCAACAGCCCCAAACCTACATCTTCCAAACCACAGAAGAATTTTCTTTCAAAATACTTTCCCCTCAGTCAGCAGTCTGCACTTGCCCTCCCCCACTCCTCCGCTCCACCCCCCCTTTGTCAGACCTGCTTCTGGAAAAAGTCTCGCTGTTCCAGAAAGCATTAATTCAACATGGTCTTTGTTTTACTTGCCTAAATATGCAGCAGAGAAAATAACTGTCCACAGTTATCAAATGTGTTCATCTGCAGACAGGAGCTCTTCAGCCTTTGTCCTCCTTCCCTCCCCACACACACCTTTTTTGTTTGAAATAACAGAAAACCTTATGCCAACAGATAGAAAGGAACAATAATGACATTTCTTTTAAGCAGTTTAGTATTGCGCGTGCTCTTTCTTCAACCAGCAAGAGGCAATAAACATTTACTACTTTCCTCGGAGAACAGAGGGGGGAAAAAAAAAAAAAAACAACCAAAGAAAGAACAAACCAAGTTTGAAGCTGCTCTGTGCTGGTTTGATTTAGCACAGCAGTGTCACTCACAGCCTTTCTGCTGTGAGCGAGAAATGTTTCATCAGCATCAAGGACAAACAGAAAAGAGTGAAAACAAAGGGAGAAGTCCCGCAGGTATTGAGGGGGCTGTCAAAGAGGGCAGAACAGCTCTTGTGAGATGCAGGAAAGGGTAAAAGTGTGCAAGCAGACCAGGCATGCTGGAATATCAGTACTGACCAAGTGCTCTTTCCACAGCTGTGAAATCAGTTGTACTACCACCCACTTGGGCTAGGACACAGTGTTTCAGTATCAAGACCAACTCAAGATAGGGTTCAATTATCAAAACCACTGGGTTACAGGGCTGCCTACTCTTTACACAGTGTCCACCTCTCCCCATCAAGGTCCTGCTCTCCCTAAGATAGGCAAGCAGTTGGAAGAGCTATAGGTTCCAAGTTCTAACTTTAACTCTTTCAATGAATAGCTTATTCCTTGTACTGGGAGCTGCTTCATTTGGCAGAAAATTCATCCCATATGTCACTATACTGTCAGTGAGTACTTTAAAGAACTTTCCTGCATTGTAACAGGATGGGCACAAAACTAAAGCAGCAAGAACTTATGTCAGATATCTGTCATAAAAGACAGGCATGTAAATCCCCAGTTTTACCAATCAAACTGTAAAAGCACAAATGACTTTCCATTAAATTAGCCTGTAAAAAATCCTAAGTTCCCTTCCAGGGGAAGTTCAAAAAAATACATGTTTAGAATTACTATTTAACCCAGTACAAAACACGAACTCTGCAGCTTGCAGGTCTAACGAGTGTCAAGACTGAGAAAAACTATAAACTTTCAGGCTTCTCACAACCTGTATTTGTATTACTGGACTTTCATAATGTATAGGAAAAAAGTTTAGAAAACGTACCACATTTAAAAACATTTATCATTAAAAAAAAAATGCAAGCTTTGCAACTACATAAGAAACATAAACCAATGTAATCTCTTAGATCTGGGCACACCACAGACCATTTTAAAGAGAAAAAGTTCAGCAACAAAAGTCATCTGTTTCTCTTTGTGGAAACAGACTACAGCTGTTCTCTTTGCAGTTCTTTTTCCAGCTTTTAAAAAAGGAGTACTACCATGATATTCAATAATTTCTCTTTCATGTTTCTTATTCACAGACCCAGTAACATTGCTTCCAAATATCTGAAGTTCAGGGGTGCTTGGCCTCTTCAAATGGCTTTGTAAAGGATAGAAATAAATAAGTCATATGCTACCCCTAATAATTCTCCTCCATTAGGCAGTCTGTAACAGGGAAGCAAAGACCCTTCCTTTCTGCACTCAGGTTTTCCCAGTGTTTTTAATATCCAAGTTACTTAGAAAATATCCTGGTCTTCAGAAACAATGCTCAATTCCTTCAGTTCTGGCCTTAAAATGATTCTATCACAAATTTAGTTGATAAAAACGCTAATTAGTGGTACCAAAGCGTAAATATAACAGGAAGCATCCTTTGCAGCTTGCTTTTAAACTCCAGTGAACTCTCGGAGCTAACCCAACAGCAGGAACTATCTCAAGCAGAATATCGCTGGGTGGGAAGAATTTCAGCCAAAATGTTTAATTGAGTTTATTTCCAAGGAAGAGGCCAAGTGGGGGAGGGGAAGCTGTTTTGCTTGTATTAAACAATTCTGGCAACCTCTTGTTCTAACAGCTCTAGCTCTTCTGCACTTTGGAGCAGGGACTTGAAGGTTGGCAGGGGGGTGCATGCATACACTTCATGCATTCTGTCATTTCGCTGCAAACCCACCCAAATTTGGCCTTGTTGGAAGTCTTTTGGGCTGGAATGGGAGGGAAAGAAAGGAGAAAAATCTCTCCTGACCTCATATAAACTGTGCTCTGTTAGAGAACAGCAGGATGGACACACAGAGAGACTCATACTTTCAACAACTGCAATTTGAAAGGCATAGATGTCTGTACAGGCTACAGCCATGCCAGAGGATGAAACCACTGTCTCCAATCTGTGCCCAAACATTCAAATCACTTTCTTTACTTCCAGTGAGCCTCCTCCTGTTAGAGCTCCCTAACTTACTATTTCTGGTGAGATTAAACAACTTACTTTTAGCCAGCCTGGTTAGCTGTGGCTAAATACATTGGAGAGACCTTATAGAAGCAGTTCAGCCAAAAAGGGTGCCCCAAACCTTGGATAGAATCATAGAATGCCACAGTTTGTGCCAAGTTCAAGTGTTAAGATTTAGTTTAAGCACATATTCTCTGACACACTCAAAACCCCAGCACTGTTGGGGCCTAATAGGGAAGAAATTGTTATGAAGCAAGAAAAAGCAGGGATGGAAGACATTAGGGGAGCCTGTGGTGGGGAAAACTGCCATGGAAGACACTGACACTGGTCAGAGGGCAGGTCTGGAGAAGAGGCACACAGATGGTGGGCATAAGAATGCAAGAGCAAAAACTTGGGAATGCAGCTTAGGTTCTTGAGTCTTACCAGCTGACTATGCCAAGGGACTGGCCATGTTATCTTAATATTTTGCAGAGTTTTGTTTGCAGTATTGTATGAAGATGAAAGGATGCATTTGTTTACACCGGTAAACAAATGGTTTAGAAAACGGATTCCCACAAATTCTCCCAGTATAATTGCCAGGAAGCACATGGTAGAGTTTGGCAAAGCAAAATAAGTAGATCCCAAACTCTTGGGGTACAGAAATAAGCACAACTTCTTTTTCCCAAGACAGTATGTGTGCTTTTGAGGTTTTTTTTGGTGCCTTCAGGGTGTATTTGGTGGCTGAGAAGCAAGACCTTGTCTTTTGAGGGTAGTTCCAGTTGCTGCAGGGTCAAGCTACCGCAGGAAGAACATTGCTCTTGTTATTTTGGTTTCCTCAATAATAATTTGAAACAAAGTTAATGGGTCACTGAAAAGTTGTGTGTGCTTGAGACATACGAGACTGCACGTAGAACCATCATTAAATCCAGAAGGTAAATTTGCTACTTTAAAAGTACATTCTCTCCTTAATAAGAAAAGGCACCTTTTCCTCAACTGGGAATCACCTCTGGTGCTTACATTTGGATCCATGCCCTCAGTAAGGTCGTCTGAAAGTTACACAGAGATACAAATGTGCTTTGTCCCCCACCTTTCTTTTTTAAACTGCAACAAATACTACATCTGAATGCTTTTGCGGGTGGAGGAAGAGATAGAAAGGTGTACCTTCTTTACCTGGGAAAGATGATTCACACTGGAGAAGTACTTGGTTTGGAAGGCTTTACAAACACAGCTTCACCCAAACACAAGGTGTTCCCCCCACCCTGCCATGCTCACTGTTAGACCAGCAAAAGTTAAAAAAAAACCAAACAACAAAAATTAAATTGCTGCTACTGATGGTATTCAGAACACCTACAAATGATACCAAAAACTCCCATAAGTTCTGAACTCTCTTCTTAGTATCAAGAACTGCTTGCAAGGAAGAGAGGGGACTGAAATTGGAATGATTTTCATCTTTCCACACCACTATGCACTTTTCCAATGCACACATCTCTTACCACGGCTTTTTGGCACTCGACCCATTTGAATAGCCCTGAAAGTACCACTTGTGCTTATTGAGGTAGGAAAGACTGAGTACAAACATGCCCAAAGTTAAACCACAACAGATGAGAGCTTCCCCAACAGAACGAAGAGTCAGACTGCAGAGTTACCCTTGGCTACTTAGGCCTCCAGCTCCTGGCGTGCCAAATCCTGGCCCCAAGACGCCCCCAAGCTGAAATCCACACCTGAACTCTGGAGCTTCTCTCTACCAGAGTGCCAACTATGCAGATTCCAACACGTAACAGCCAAAGCTGCAGTATGGCTTTTGGAGCACCCTCAGTGGCTGGTGCCATAGGAAACTATTAATTCACCTCGACTCTGCTGCCTGTTGACTATCCCGCCCAGCGTCCATCGCCGGTCCAGGCGTCTCAGGTGAGCCTTGCGTCGCTTAGAAACTAGTTTGGAACACGGATGAAGACAAAACAAAGGGGGGAAGAAAAAAAAAGAAGAAAAAAATGGAGGGGTGAGGAATAAAAACAAAATATGGCATTTACAAGCACTGATCTTGTTAGTGGGAATGGGTTAGGTGGGATGCAGATCTTTTTAGTTTGTACAGTACAGTGGAACAAGTTATCTTCTTGAGCCTTAGCAACATAAACCATGCAGAACTGTAACAAATTGCAACTCTTGCTTTTGGTTTTTCTCAAAAACGAAGCCTAGAAAACCCCAAAAACATATACACCCCCCAAAACAAGCTGCACAACTAAAGACAAGTTGTCCAAGGAAGGTGAAGTGGCAGTTGCATCTCCTAATTTGGCTGCATTATCTCTGGGGAATTCACCCTATTGCACATGACATCAAACCCAAAAGGGTTCTAACCCTGCCTAAGCAAAATTATCACACCATAAAAAAAACCAAAAACACCCAAAAAACTTTTTGTACGTGGGTTCCCTTGTAACAGCAGCACTCAGGAACAGAACCCAAGTGAAAATTGTCTGATGTTGCCTTGTTTGCAAGACGTGACTCGCAATCACTGCCACGGTTAATTCTCATGATTAAAACTTCTTATATACAGATTACAAATGTGAGGAAAATGCTAACCTTGTAATTATTGAGCAGGCTCAAGAAGCTAACAAGCCAGGACTGAGTATTAGCTACACACTGAAACAATAATTAATGTTTAAAGTATAAATAAAGACAAAACACTTATGGAAATGGCATTGTGAGAGCAGCTGTGCACAGAGGACACCACTTGTTTTCTGGACTGCATACTAAGATCTGTACTCAGTTCCTTCATCTGCCTGTACAGGACCCACTGGACTGGCACAGAGACAGAGACAAACACTTCTGTTTTTCCACTCAAGGGCTTCCATGCTAATTTGGCAACTGCTGCAGGGGTGCTTGGTGCTGCCACAGAGCAATGCAAAATATTGCATGTCAGTGATAGCTGAAGTCCAAACACAATCATTTTGCTAGTGGTGCTGGAAAGTTGTTCATAAATTCTGATATCACCTCATTAATTATCACTCAATTATGTTTATATGCACTTATTTAGGGAATATACCCTTACACTGGAGTGGAACCACAAATTTTCAGAGCAGTTGAATATCAAGTTCATAGATAGCTGTGGTTTTGGCTAATGTAAATCAGTGATCCTTTTCGAAGCCCATGGTGGGACAGAAGATGAGAAGGTTTAACCTGGTGACTTTGTCCAAATCAACAGGACATTAGACTGCCAGTTACACATATGCTACAAGAGGCAACACAGGACACCTCACTAGACATACAGATTATAGCAAAGAGAGAAGCTAAAGTCACAGTAAAGCTGCCTGCGTTAGGAGACTTCAAAACAAGAAAGGAGGAAATGAAAGATATTGAATATAAAGGCTTGCAGAAACGAGGGGTCCATAAGGGGTAGAAGATAGCTTCAGGTGTCAGCACAGAGCAGTCACCTTACTACTTCCTCGCACTGAGAGTTTGGAGGATTTGGTCATCCAGGAGCACCCCTTAAAAACAGTGGGTCACACAGATCCACCACACCGTGTCCTCATAACATACAACCATTCCCAGTGACAGCCCTCATATCACAATGATGCCTTTGTACAAGACAGGGTTTTTTACTCCTCAACAATATTGAATTTTGCCATTTGATCCCAGACTTAGACTTGGTTGATCATGCCACAGTTAGTCACCAAACGCTTGTTTATCAACAAGCATCTAAACCTTTCCAGAGAGTATTTTAACATGTTTACTTTATCAGCTCCTGTAGCTGTTGAATGTTTCTTTAGATTGCTTTCTGAATGTTTTCCAACCCTTGCAAGATGGTGTTGGTCTAAACAAAGCCCCAGGTAGCAGTCAGCTGTGCCTTCATCCTGACAGAAGATGTTGTGCAGGCTCAGAGGCAGGGAGGAAACACTTTTGTCTTTCTTGGGGAACAGACTATTTAAACAGAGACATATGGAAATATTAGTGCTATGTAGAGGCAGAATTATTAGTAAGTTGTGTTCACCACCTCCTTATCTGTACAAGGGTCTGCCACAGCAGAGCAGAATTCTGGGTCTGCCTGTCTTGTGGTCTTGTTCCATGCCTGTGCAAATGGGGAGGACCAAGAGTCTGATACAAAAAGCTCCTACATGAGTGTTTCTGCCCTTTCAAACTCACTCTGAAGCTTGTATGAACTCTAAATTTAGGGGCTAGGGCACCTAATCCACTTCAAGTGTCTTCCTCTTCAGTTATATCACAGCCCCCTTCTCCTGCCAGCTCCAGAGAGTTGGCAAGTTTTTTAAGTTCACTTTTATACACTTTCTTAAAGAGAGTGAACCTGAGTAATTCTTTCCTCACTTATGAAACAATTACATGGAGAAGAACAGCCCAAGCAAAGAAGAACTGGAGAGGGAAAAACAAAGAACACAAGAAGTCTCAGTTTATGTGGTTAATAACATAAACCAAAGTTACTGCAAAGCAAGCTAAAAGCTGGGGCACATCAAGGCAGCTGTGGAAGTAACACAATTAGATTTGTCACTGAGGTGGAACTGAACAGAAAGGGGAGAACAGTCTCAGATTTCAGGGTATCTGGATTTGGAGTAAGGCAGGGAACAGGACTGCTGACCATAGGTGAAGAGAGCAGTGTAATGGATTAAAAGAGACCGAGAGGAAAGAGATAAGGAACATTTGATGGATTTGCCATTACCCAGGATAGACTGCTCTGTGGCAACATCCCTGTGCAGAGTACGCTCCAGAGGCCAACATGAAAGGTGGAGGAGAGTTTGAAATGAAAGCAGTTTAAGCAATAAGGCTGTCAAGCATGCACCATGTTTAAGAGTCAGGAAAAGGGAGAAAGCTACAGACCAACAGACGAGACATTCTTCAATGCTTGCAGACAAGAGCAGTAAGTTTTTGTTCTTTACTAACAAGGAAACTTTCCTAACTGTTTTGCATCCGCTAAGATGTTGCATCACACGAGGCTGGTTCCTGGCCTACCAGTCTACAGCCAGTCTGTCTCTAAACCCTAAGTGACACAGGATATGGGTAGATGTGAGCAGGGAAAAATGAGTTACAGAGAAAGATTTCAATAAGCCACAGATGTCACCCCTGGGGCCCAGCACAAAGTTATGTTTTGCCTGTGTGCTCCCTTAATGGGCAGATGGTCACTCCAACACATTTCTAAGCCTCTGCCTGTGCTAAGGAAAGGTCAGCTGAATTTCCACATACATTTTACATAAGTGTCACGTCAAGAGCACCTAGATTTAGCAAGAGATTCATTAGAATGGAGTAAATCATAATAAAAGTGTCCTTTGTACACAGTTGCTACATGAGAATTCCATTAAGATGTGGTTAGTCTTTCATAATGGAACTGAGGAACATGTGAGGCTGTACTATTCCATCTCTGGAACCTGAATTAAGCACATTTAGTAAAAAAAAAAAAGGCAGTGCAGCTAAATACATATCATGGCAAATGGCATCTCACTTTCAACAGAATGAGACCACACCAAATAAAATTACCTTTCCACACAACCACAGACCAAAGCAAACAGCAGCAAAACTAGTTTCAAAGATTAATTTAAAAAAAAAAAAATTACAAGAAGGAACCATGGAAGTTACATCTCACTCCTTTCAATGCTCTGTGGCTCTATCATGCATCCTCTTCCTCGTGTAATTTCTGCAAACAAGCCATGCAAGTTCTCTCCTTCCATGGACACTACCAGAACAAACTGCTTGGACTTGCAAATAAGTTGTTTGTCTGCTTTTTAAGGGAGTATAATGAGCATCATTTCATATTTTGAACCTTTTGTCACACTCATTGTCCAAGCTGATCACAAAGGGATTACAGGCATAGTACTCCAATTTCTTCTGCAACAATTGTTTAGTGGTACAAGATGGGAGAGAGGTTACTGCACTGGATCAACAGCCATAAATGGCAGCATGAGTTTTCCAAGTTTTCCTCTGGGAGAAAAAAACATAGAGGGCAAGTGACTACCAATTTCTCCTTGATAACAATAAACTTTCCATACCTTCCCCAAATTTAGATGTGTTGATGTCAGAGTCATCTCTGGTTCCATTTTGAGATTCCAGGTATGTAGCAGGGACCCATCCCTGTTCCTCTGCTGTGCTCACAAACCACCAACCTACAAAAAGAAATGAAAGAAGTCAACATTAAGAGGAACAGGAACAGTAAAATGCTACTAAGAAGATGGCAGTGTCAGCAGTTTCAGTGCAGGTTCGAGTTATTCTGCAGGTTCCTAGAATGAAAAGGGGTTTAGTTCAATTGTACCATTTCTATCAGATACTCTCTCAGTGGTAAAAAGCGGATGCAATGGAGCAAATGACAATTCATTTTAAGAAACTCCAAGTCCAACCACAACAACTTTGATTCAAGCTCTGTAATTCTGTTTTTCTGAGCTGGTCTTGCCACACGTGTATCTACAGCATCAAAACACTTTGTATGTGAATATATGTATACGTGAACGTACATGAAACAGCACAGATGCTGCCCAAATCCTAATATGGAATATTGCAGAAGTCAAATGATGGAAATAGGAAAGACTTTAGCAGAAGGGCACAGATTTCAGAACAGGATACAAAAGTCCTTCAAGAGCACTTGTAACCACAGCTGGTGTTTACAAAACATGACCTGAATTCAATGCCTTGGGAAGCTGGAAACTACTGCACAGAACCAAAATAGGAGAGAAAAGCTAACTGAAATGTGAGTTCAGGTCATGAGTACCAGTTATTTATCTCCCCACCTGAACATCTAAATTTCTATCACTATCTATAAAAATGTTGAGTATTCACGTTATAGGGATATAACCTTTCATTCATATTTGTGGATGGATGAATAAAATTATAGGCAAGCCAACTACAGATTAAATATTCTAAGCATAACTATCCTTGCCTGTTTTCCTGCTTGGCTACATTGATTTATGGAATCCTCCACTACTTTTGATGTAGACTCACTCAACCAAGAACTTATTGCTCTCAGATATGAACACAAGTAAATTCTCCTCTATTCAGATAAGGTCCAGGTTAAGATAACAGGACAATACAAAGTCTAACAGATAAGCAAACCACTTCTATTTTTTTCTGTCATCTCCCACTTTCCCTCCAAAAACACAAGCTGCCTTGTCAGGACAATGGAAACTTTTGTCCAGTACCAGTCTTCCAGACTCCCCAGAGGGAGTTGGGAAAACAGCTATTTCTGTCCACACACCTCAAAACAGTTTAAAGACTTTAATGGCTGTCATAAACACACCAAATTTCACAGAAGACTCCCAAGCCTGCCTGTGATGAGCAAAGGCACCATCTTTGTCTGATGGGCACGAAAGCTGGTTAGTTTATTGTGGGGCAGAGCTCCGAGCCATGTGATAGCCAAACAGCTCTCCCACAGCTGGGATGCCACAGTCTGGGCCCAGTGGGGAGGAAGGGAAGGTCCTGGGCTGGGCTCTGCTGCCATGCCACATGCAACTGTCTTTAAAGAAAGAAACCACCCTCCTGAAACAATGCTCAAGTGTTCATGCTAAAAGTCACCCAAGTTCATGCCAAATCCTGTCACGGAAGATTTTAGCAGAGAACAGTAGTTACAAACCCTGTTTTCCTCCCTGGGGCATATGGCTGGGAGACAATGTGCCCCAAGCAATAACCCCTCGCTTGCCTCTGTGCAGCTCCTAGGCAGCTCTATTCATTTACTCTCCAAACTCAGACACAGATTTCCATCTTCTGGCCCAGCAGAGGTTTGGAAACTTTGCTTCACAAGGCTCAAGGCTGGAAAGTTTAAATTTAGTTATTCTCCCTCAGCAGGAGGTGGATTCTCCTGCCACGAAGCCCACAGCAGCGAACATGCAGGATCTGCCAGACCGTTTCAAAAACACGTCTTCATGGTTGTTCCTTGTTTCACTACTAACATATCGACACGGGTAGCAAACACAGTTTAACATACAGTTATAATTAGGCACAAAATGTGAGAAGCTGGCTTTCAGCTGATATCAATTAGCCTGGAATAGTTTACGTAAACTCTTCCCCAGAAAGAAATTAAGCACAATCGCAAAAAGGACTTGCCTAACTTAAAAATGTACCTTTGGGCCAAATTCAAACCATGGTAAAACCTTCTTTGGAGAGCTGGATCACACTTGCTTGACGCCAACCCAGTGCTAGCCCATTTCACAATACAGCTCCTCTGGTTTGGCTCACTGAGCTGCACTGTGGCCTCAGAGCTGAGTTTAGGTGTTGTGTTTGGGGCCATAGAGGAGCTGAGCCTCCATCCAAAAGGGCTCCCTGCCAAAAGAATACCCCTCGCCCTCCTGCCTAGGTATGCACTTGTGCACGTGCCTCCCTCACATCACCATGCCACCCTACTGCCATTCCTAGTTCCTGAAAGCCCTCGACAAGGAAACCTCACTACTCTGATCTTGTGAACAGGCTGGAGGTCAAGTCACATTTGAGCTATGTTACAGCCAAGTAACTCAACCAAATCCAGTGCCATGTGCAGACAGAACATATAACAGTCCAGCTGAGGTTTTAAGCTGCTTTGATTCTTTAAGCCATGACTAAGGCTGAAGCTTCTAATCACCACAGAACTCATAAAAGTTATAATTTCTTTATAAAAGTTTCCTTTATAAACTCTGTGCAAGGGTAAAGCATAAATGAGAGATCTCCACAACTACTGAGAAATCAGCAGCATCTGTCCAAGTTCAGGAAAAAATAGCCCCAACTCTGAAATTCTCTTCTCCCATTTCAAGCCTGCTTCTCAAAAAGAAAAAAGAAAGGCTTTAATGTAGCTCATTGAAACAGCACACCTACAGAAAAAAAAGTGTGTTTTACTTAAACAGACCAAACAACTGAGAAGACTGACAAACTTTCAGCAACACACTCTGGCAACAGAGAAGTCACAAATGGATACTCACAAGCAAGATGTGCAAGGTCTTAGAGCAGCCAAGCAGACACTGCAAAGGCAGCACATCCCTTATGAGACCAAAACCTGAATTACAGTGGCACATCCAAGCCATAACCCTCCAGAAAGGAAAATACAGCAATAGTGCAAGAATTGACTCCTAGCAGAAAATGTTAGCAGTGCAGACAAGTTCCTCAACATAGCCCCTGCATTACAGTCACAAACTGCAGAACTCTGCCCAGCTGATCATGAAGTACTTGCTCTGCACCATCCCCTCATTAGTACCACCATTTGGTACCACCACCCCCTTCCCACCCTCTCCACTCCCAGGGGGGTTCAAGATTTGCAGACGAATTAGCCAGACTGGTCTTAGTTTGCCCCATTACAGCCCTGGCTTTCTGCAAACAATCTCTTGTCCCCTCCCCTGCCATCTTTCCCAACCCAGAGCATCACAGAAACGTTGTTAGAAAACTTGCTTTTTAAACACAGAACAAAATTGCATTTATTTTGAGTTCTCCCTCTATGCTGGAGTCGAGCTTGACTTCACAATTCATTATTAAAACCATTCTGCAGCAACATCTGCAGGGAATTATGTAAAGTTATCTCTGTGCACTGCCAAGCCAGTCTGAGGTTCTCTCTTGCACTCACACCATCTGTAAAAATCAGGCAGTGCTTTACAGCTTGAGTTAACCCTTACAGATGCCCCTGTCTCTCAGGCATCAAAACACAACTCTAAAGCTGATGTGGCATAGATATCTAGACTGAGACTCATCAACCCTCATCTCTGAAGAAGATTTAAAGGGAGTTTGAGACTCACAGAAGGCACATAATGAGTTGTAGCCACTGTGCCCAGACCAAGCTCAACTTGAGCTTTGCTGCATTACTCCAACAGCCTCAATAGTAACCCCAGAATACAAATTTTTAAGATAGGAGTGCAATTTTCTCCCCACATATGTTGCTGCTTTGGTTGGCATCTTGTCAACATCCCTTGCTGCAGCCAGCAAGATGTCTCCACACTCACAGAGTCCACTGAGGCTCAGACAACCCTCAGGCCTTTTACAAGTTACCGAGAAATGACCAGTTTCACTTAACATATATACATATGGCAAGTTGATGACTGCAAAATGGATCGGTCACACTGGAGAATGGCTAAACGACAAAAAGACTTGGATTCTAAAAAATCATGTTCTTGCTTTTAATTTTATTCCCAAGCCTCTTCCCAAAAGGCTTTTACAAAAGCAAAAGAATTAAGCAAATGTTAACCACAACATGCACCATGGGAAACTACTGGAACATAGTTAAAGGATTAAATTTTATTCAAGTTTTGCTTATCTTTACATGCATCCTTACCCATCCATCCTTCACTATTGTCCCTTTCTTCACATCAACAGGGAATCAGCGATTCCTATTGATCACAAGATGCTACAAATCACTTCAGGAAATAAATACATAAAATTGCAGGATAATGCTGAACATCAGTTTCTAATTCTCTCATCAGCCATTAATTTCTCTATAGATTTTATGAGTTTGACTAAAGTAAGCAAGACTGATAAGCAACACTGTTGGGCACAGATATTTCTCCTGCACGAGTATACATTCCTCTAAACAAATACTTAAATAACACTCCATCTCTCAAGAGTCTTGAAAAAATCCCACTCAAGCAGCAGTCTGGTACATTTGACATACGCTCTTTGGGTTTCAGAGAGGTGCTTTTTTTAAGTCCTTCTGCCTTGGAACTATCTCTAGAGAGACTTCTTTGATCCGACAACATAAACTGTCCTACAAAGCAATACTAGATGCAACTAAGTCACTTCCAGACCTGTCACACAGACCTTTTCATGCCAACAGCTGATTACTTCTCTTCAGAGAAGGGATCTGCTTTGTTAGAAAACAGCTAAGGTAAGAGTATGGCTGCACAGTTGAAGGCACTTGCTTTTTCCACCCCTCTAGAGCTTGTCCCACACAGTACATATATATTTGATACACACAGGGCAGCCAATTGTAATTGCCTCTGACAGACCTCTAAAGAACGCATAGAAGTGGAAATGGAAAGGCACCAGGAGTAGCATTTTACAAGAGGGATTTTCTGCAGTAAGCTTATGCTCACACCCACTTCTGTGCCTGTATGCTGTTAGACACTACTGTCCATACTGGCTCTGCTCTCTGTAAAGGGCTATTTCAGTCCCACACACTTGGCAAAGGCACTAGATTGAAACCACTGAATTCATATGAAGGTCAGTG